CAGACCTGCTGCACTTATTGATTTGCCACTCTCCAGGCTCTGGGGACCGGCTGATGACTACAAGACGTCTGCGGGATGATCAAAGCATCTGTCTGTCTCCCAGCAAGTGCTGTCTGACACCAAAGATGTGCTGCTCCTCGCCATGATGTCACTCCATAGATTAGAAGAAAACCAAAGCCTGACAGTCCACGGCTTCTCCTTCAAAGGCAACACTTTCTATATGATCCGCCGCATGGTGGCAAATGATCAAAAACAATCGTTCTTTCCGATCATTTTACTCCAGTTCAACAAAAATATAAACATTTGACCAAATTATTAACGGAATTAGAAAGCTCTGTGAAATGATCGATAAAATAGCGATCGGTGAAGACGCAGGGCAATCGTCTTACTGTACTAGTGGAAGAAATAGACGATTTGTAATGAATACAACGAAAAAAACAGAATATGATCGCCTCAAGATTGCCGTCTGGGGCTCCCCGTTATGCTCTGAAATTCTCAATTGTTAGTCAAACCGATTCGTACTTCATTATCTTCATGTATGTCCACCAACTGGACGGGACGTCACCACTGCGGTATCAGTATTAAATAAATATGATTACAGTATGAAAAAAATGTATCGCTATCCTACGGACCTGTCCTATGGAGGTGTCCTATGGAGGTGTCCTATGGACGTGTCCTATGGAGGTGTCCTATGGAGGTGTCCTATGGAGGTGTCCTATGGAGGTGTCCTATGGACCTATCCTACGGACCTGTCCTATGGAGGTGTCCTATGGAGGTGTCCTATGGAGGTGTCCTATGGAGGAGTCCTATGGGAGGAGTCCTATGGAGGTGTCCTATGGAGGTGGTCCTATGGAGGTGTCCTATGGACCTGTCCTATGGAGGTGTCCTATGGACCTGTCCTATGGAGGGGTCCTATGGAGGTGTCCTATGGAGGTGTCCTATGGAGGTGTCCTATGGAGGTGTCCTATGGAGGTGTCCTATGGAGGGAGGTGTCCTATGGACGTGTCCTATGGAGGTGTCCTATGGAGGTGTCCTATGGAGGTGTCCTATGGACCTAATCCTATATGGACCTGTCCTATGCAGCTGTCCTATGGACCTAACCTATGGACCTGTCCTATGCAGCTGTCCTATGGACCTAACCTATGGACCTGTCCTATGGAGGTGTCTTATGGACCTATCCTATGGACCTGTCCTATGGACCTATGGACCTATCCTATGGAGGTGTCTTATGGACGTGTCCTATGGACCTGTCCTATGGACGTGTCCTATGGACGTGTCCTATGGAGGTGTCCTATGGAGGTGTCCTATGGAGGTGTCCTATGGAGGTGTCCTATGGAGGTGTCCTATGGACCTAACCTATGGACCTGTCCTATGGAGCTGTCCTATGGACCTAACCTATGGACCTGTCCTATGGAGGTGTCTTATGGACCTATCCTATGGAGGTGTCTTATGGACCTGTCCTATGGAGGTGTCTTATGGACCTGTCCTATGGAGGTGTCTTATGGACCTGTCCTATGGAGGTGTCTTATGGACCTGTCCTATGGAGGTGTCTTATGGACCTGTCCTATGGAGGTGTCTTATGGACCTATGGAGGTCTTATGGACCTGTCCTATGGACGTGTCCTATGGAGGTGTCCTATGGAGGTGTCCTATGGAGGTGTCCTATGGAGGTGTCTTAGGTCCATATCTCATGGACATAGTTCATGGACAGATCCTATGCATGTATCTTATGGACCTAACCTATGGATGTGTCTTATGGATGTATCTTATGGACATAGTTCATGGACTGATCCTCTGAATGTATCTTATGGACATAGCCTATGGACCTATGCTCAGGCCAATAAGACAGGTTCATAACATACATCCCTAGCATAGGTCCTTGAGATACATCGCTAGCATAGGTCCATGAGATACATCCCTAGCATAGGTCCATGAGATACAGTAGGTCTATAGGATAGGTCCATGAGATACATCCATTAAATAGGTCCAAGAGATAGGCCCATAAGAGAGCTCCATGAGATTGTATATATCTTATGAACCTATCTCACGGAGTTCTCTTATGGGCCTATCTCTTGGACCTATTGTATTGACGTATCTCTTGAACCTATTGTATGGACGTATCTCCTGGACCTATCTTATGGATGTATCTCATGAACATATCCTATAGACCTACTGTATCTTATGGACCTATCCAAGGGATGTATCTCTTGGGTCCAAAAGATACAGTAGGTCCATAGGATATGTCCATCTGATGGACTTATCCTAGGGTTGTATCTCTTGGACCTATCCTGTGGACCTACTGTATCTTTTGGACCCATCTCATGGACCTATCCCAGGGTTGTATCTCTTGGACCTATCCTGTAGACCTACTGTATCTTTTGGACCCATCTCATGGACCTATCCTAGGGATGTGTCTCATGGATGTCTCACAACATCAGATATTTTGTTGCATTGAGAATATGTGTGAACCCATTACAAATGTTCCCTTTGCCCAATGATACAATTTTGAGATGTCTTGTCTGTGGTGTGGTGCTCGTACCCCGGGGTGTTAGTAACTCTCGGTTCTTTGTCTGCAGTTGTACAAATAGAATTAAAGCCAGGATGACATCACCTTTCTACGCTTTGAGCTTGCTGCTGCAGGATGGGAGTGGCCCAGCTGAACAATACATTACTGGCCGGATCCAGCATGGCAGAGGTTAAATAATGGATGAGCTCAGCGACGCCCCCGTCTGAAGGCATGGAGATGATATCAGGGCTTTCTCTCCCCAATGTATTAGGCAGCTTTTAGGAGGGAGCAGCTGGGCGCCCTGCAGGATGGCTGGTGTCATTAGGCTCAAGCTAATCTGGGAAATGGGTTACAGCCTAATGACATCCCCCCCCCCACCACTCCCATCCGCCATGACAATCGCTGACACCTCCCTTGGCTGGCTCTGAGCAGATCCCTTTAATTAAACAGGATTTACTCACTCAGCCGCCCCTTCCCATCAAAAGCAATGAAATCACCGCTTGCTGCAGGTTTTAACCCCTTCCCTACCGGCAATGTAGGCGGCCAACCCTAACCTATGGCCGGCCCAGGAAGAGCACCAGGCCTACAGTGAGGGGTCACAAGGAGGCTCCCTGATAGGACAATGGGGCTGTGTCCCACCTGGCAGACAAAGTGTTAACGTGCCGGGTGTGCGCTCACAGAAAGGAACAGCGAAGGCGGAACGCAAAGCATTCTATAAAGAATACGACGATGCCAATCAACCCGAAACAAAAAAAATTGGTGCTGGTTGTCGGGGTCCACATAGATTTACAGCGCCGGTTCTCGGGGTCGATGTAGATTTACAGCGCTGGTTCTTGGGGTCTACATAGATTTACAGCGCCGGTTCTTGGGGTCTACGTAGAATCATGGCACCGGTTCTTGGGGTCTACGTAGATTTACAGCGCCGGTTCTTGGGGTCTACATAGATTTACAGCGCCGGTTCTTGGGGTCTACGTAGAATCATGGGGTTCTCGGGTCTACGTAGATTTACAGCGCCGGTTCTTGGGGTCTACATAGATTTACAGCGCCGGTTCTTGGGGTCTACGTAGAATCATGGTGCCTGTTCTCGGGGTCTACATAAATTCACAGCGTCGGTTCTCAGGGTCTATGGAGAATCACAGCGCCGGTTCTCGGAGTCTACGTAGAATCATGGCGCCGGTTCTTGGGGTCTATCGAGAATCATGGCACCGGTTCTCAGGGTCTACATAGATTCACAGCGCCGGTTCTTGGGGTCTACATAGATTTACAGCGCTGGTTCTCGGGGTCTACGTAGAATCACGGCGCCGGTTCTCGGGGTCTACATAGAATCACGGCGCCGGTTCTCGGGGTCTACATAGAATCACGGCGCTGGTTCTCAGGGTTTCTGTTCAAATTCTATACCTGGCGGGAATTGTACTCTACCTCCAGTCCCATGCCCCCCTCCCCCTCCACGTGCCCCTCTGCTGCTGCAGTGTTCGCATCGCCCTTTGTTCCTGCGCTGCAGTGATGGGTGTGGCTCTGCAGCACTGAGCGTCTATCATGGTGCCCCCCCCCCATCCGATTGCCGTCTGGAGACACAGACACCTGGGCTGAGCAGGTGCCACCATCCTTCACCGCGGATCTAATCTGGGGGTCACCTCCACCATAGCAAACCTGCAAGGTGTGTTGGGGGAGGGGGGGCGTGGGGGGGGAGGGGCTCCTGTATACCGTCAATGTTATATGGGCATTTAGAGGGCATTTAAATAGAAGAACGAACATTCAATTCCCATACAAATATAATTCACATCGATCCTCCTCTGTATACGGATGGCTGATCGATCGTCGCTCCCCCACATATATATATATATATATATATACACCCTGGCATAGTTACAATATATATCATTTATTAAACGCATTCCCACCATTGTACAGTATATATATATATACAGAGAGAGCGAGACATATATATACACACACAGTATATATCTCTCCAGTACATGTATATACCTCCCGGAGTACACTGTATACAGCACAGGACCAGGGGCGGACTGACCATCTGGAAACTCAGGCACTACTCGAGGGCCGGGGGTCAGTAGGGGGCCCCATGAGATGCCCCTGGTACCTTTTTCATAGGCTTTTTTGAGTTTGGGCAAGGACACAGGGGCCCCATGATCCCCTATTGCCCAGGGGCCCTTGATCCCCTATTGCCCGGGGGCCCCGTGATCCCCTATTGCCCGGGGGCCCCATGATCCCCTATTGCCCGTGGGCCCCGTGATCCCCTATTGCCCAGGGGCCCCGTGATCCCCTATTGCCCAGGGGCCCCGTGATCCCCTATTGCTCGGGGGCCCCATGATGCCCCCTATTGCCCGGGGGCCCCATGAGTTGTCAGTCCGCCCCTGCACAGTATATATATATATATGGGTGACATGCGCCCACTCTCGGCATCCATCGCATGACACACATAAATTGTCAGCTCTGCAGCCCAGTGGAAGCCCCTCCCCCCGAGGGCCCCTCACCTTGGCCCCGATCTGGTTGCCGCACTGGCCGGCCTGGATGTGGACGATCTCCCTCATGGCTGCCTCGGCTCTGGGCTCAGGATGCGGACACTGGAGGCGGCGCTGCGCCGGCGGGGACCTTATAAAGCGGAGGCGCTGACGTCACGGGAGCCGGGAGCCAATGGCGAGCCGCCTGCGAAACGCCGCAACATCCCTGCAGCATCAGCACCGGCCGGGACGGGAGCGCGCGCGACACGCCCAGGGAGGCGGCGGGGACGGGGAGCTCAGCTGGGCGCGTGCCTGAAGGTGGGCGGGGGGCGCGCCTATAGTCAGCGATATGGACATGGAAAGTGACTCGGCAACCTGTAGATGGGGGAGGGGGATGGATGTGGGGGAGGGGGGGATGGATGGGGGGAGGGGATGGTGGGGGATGGGGGGTCACCGATCACTGGCTTTGTTATCACCCCAATAATCAGCATTGGAAGAATCTACATTGTAACCGATAATTCCATATATAGTCTACAATGTAACCGATAATTCCATATATAGTCTACAATGTAACCGATAATTCCGTATATAGAGAGTCTACAATGTAACCGATAATTCCATATATAGAGGATCTACAATGTAACCGATAATTCCGTATATAGAGGATCTACAATGTAACCGATAATTCCATATATAGTCTACAATGTAACCGATAATTCCATATATAGAGGATCTACAATGTAACCGATAATTCCATATATAGAGGATCTACAATGTAACCGATAATTCCATATATAGAGGATCTACAATGTAACCGATAATTCCGTATATAGAGAGTCTACAATGTAACCGATAATTCCGTATATAGAGAGTCTACAATGTAACCGATAATTCCATATATATATAGGATCTACAATGTAACCGATAATTCCGTATATAGAGGATCTACAATGTAACCGATAATTCCATATATAGAGGATCTACAATGTAACCGATAATTCCGTATATAGAGAGTCTACAATGTAACCGATAATTCCATATATAGAGAGTCTACAATGTCGATAATTCCGTATATAGAGAGTCTACAATGTAACCGATAATTCCGTATATAGAGAGGATCTACAATGTAACCGATAATTCCGTATATAGAGAGTCTACAATGTAACTGATAATTCTGTATATAGAGGATCTACAATGTAACCGATAATTCCATATATAGAGAGTCTACAATGTAACCGATAATTCCGTATATAGAGGATCTACAATGTAACCGATAATTCCATATATAGAGAGGATCTACAATGTAACCGATAATTCCGTATATAGAGGATCTACAATGTAACCGATAATTCCGTATATAGAGAGTCTACAATGTAACCGATAATTCCGTATATATTCCCGTAGAGAGTCTACAATGTAACCGATAATTCCGTATATAGAGAGTCTACAATGTAACCGATAATTCCGTATATAGAGATCAACAATGTAACCGATAATTCCATATATAGAGGATCTACAATGTAAGATAATTCCATATATAGAGGATCTACAATGTAACCGATAATTCCATATATAGAGGATCTACAATGTAACCGATAATTCCGTATATAGAGGATCTACAATGTAACCGATAATTCCGTATATAGAGGATCTACAATGTAACCGATAATTCCGTATATAGAGGATCTACAATGTAACCGATAATTCCGTATATAGAGAGTCTACAATGTAATGATAATTCCATATATAGTCTACAATGTAACCGATAATTCCATATATAGAGAGTCTACAATGTAACCGATAATTCCGTATATAGAGGATCTACAATGTAACCGATAATTCCATATATAGAGAGAGTCTACAATGTAACCGATAATTCCGTATATAGAGAGTCTACAATGTAACCGATAATTCGTATATAGAGAGTCTACAATGTAACCGATAATTCCATATATAGAGAGTCTACAATGTAACCGATAATTCCATATATAGAGGATCTACAATGTAACCGATAATTCCATATATAGAGGATCTACAATGTAACCGATAATTCCGTATATAGAGGATCTACAATGTAACCGATAATTCCATATATAGAGAGTCTACAATGTAACCGATAATTCCATATATAGAGGATCTACAATGTAACCGATAATTCCATATATAGAGAGTCTACAATGTAACCGATAATTCCATATATAGAGGATCTACAATGTAACCGATAATTCCATATATAGAGATCTACAATGTAACCGATAATTCCGTATATAGAGAGTCTACAATGTAACCGATAATTCCATATATAGAGAGTCTACAATGTAAACCGATAATTCCATATATAGAGAGTCTACAATGTAACCGATAATTCCGTAATATAGAGAGTCTACAATGTAACCGATAATTCCGTATATAGAGGATCTACAATGTAACCGATAATTCCATATATAGAGGATCTACAATGTAACCGATAATTCCATATATAGAGGATCTACAATGTAACCGATAATTCCATATATATAGAGGATCTACAATGTAACCGATAATTCCATATATAGGATCTACAATGTAACCGATAATTCCATATATAGAGAGTCTACAATGTAACCGATAATTCCATATATAGAGGATCTACAATGTAACCGATAATTCCATATATAGAGAGAGTCTACAATGTAACCGATAATTCCATATATAGAGGATCTACAATGTAACCGATAATTCCGTATATAGAGAGTCTACAATGTAACCGATAATTCCATATATATAGAGAGTCTACAATGTAACTGATAATTCCATATATAGAGAGTCTACAATGTAACCGATAATTCCGTATATAGAGAGTCTACAATGTAACCGATAATTCCATATATAGAGGATCTACAATGTAACTGATAATTCCGTATATAGAGGATCTACAATGTAACGATAATTCCATATATAGAGAGTCTACAATGTAACTGATAATTCCGTATATAGAGAGTCTACAATGTAACCGATAATTCCATATATAGAGGATCTACAATGTAACCGATAATTCCGTATATAGAGAGTCTACAATGTAACCGATAATTCCGTATATAGAGTATCTACAATGTAACCGATAATTCCGTATATAGAGAGTCTACAATGTAACCGATAATTCTGTATATAGAGAGTCTACAATGTAACCGATAATTCCATATATAGAGAGTCTACAATGTAACCGATAATTCCGTATATAGAGGATCTACAATGTAACCGATAATTCCATATATAGAGGATCTACAATGTAACCGATAATTCCATATATAGAGGATCTACAATGTAACCGATAATTCCATATATAGAGGATCTACAATGTAACCGATAATTCCGTATATAGAGGATCTACAATGTAACCGATAATTCCATATATAGAGAGTCTACAATGTAACCGATAATTCCATATATAGAGGATCTACAATGTAACCGATAATTCCATATATAGAGAGTCTACAATGTAACCGATAATTCCATATATAGAGGATCTACAATGTAACCGATAATTCCATATATAGAGGATCTACAATGTAACCGATAATTCCATATATAGAGGATCTACAATGTAACCGATAATTCCATATATAGAGGATCTACAATGTAACCGATAATTCCATATATAGAGAGTCTACAATGTAACCGATAATTCCATATATAGAGGATCTACAATGTAACCGATAATTCCATATATAGAGAGTCTACAATGTAACCGATAATTCCATATATAGAGAGTCTACAATGTAACCGATAATTCCATATATAGAGGATCTACAATGTAACCGATAATTCCAATCTACAATGTAACCGATAATTCCGTATATAGAGGATCTACAATGTAACCGATAATTCCGTATATAGAGGATCTACAATGTAACCGATAATTCCATATATAGAGAGTCTACAATGTAACCGATAATTCCATATATAGAGGATCTACAATGTAACCGATAATTCCATATATAGAGAGTCTACAATGTAACCGATAATTCCATATATAGAGGATCTACAATGTAACCGATAATTCCGTATATAGAGAGTCTACAATGTAACCGATAATTCCATATATAGAGAGTCTACAATGTAACTGATAATTCCATATATAGAGAGTCTACAATGTAACCGATAATTCCGTATATAGAGAGTCTACAATGTAACCGATAATTCCATATATAGAGGATCTACAATGTAACTGATAATTCCGTATATAGAGGATCTACAATGTAACGATAATTCCATATATAGAGAGTCTACAATGTAACTGATAATTCCGTATATAGAGAGTCTACAATGTAACTGATAATTCCATATATAGAGGATCTACAATGTAACCGATAATTCCGTATATAGAGTATCTACAATGTAACCGATAATTCCGTATATAGAGAGTCTACAATGTAACCGATAATTCCGTATATAGAGGATCTACAATGTAACCGATAATTCCATATATAGAGGATCTACAATGTAACCGATAATTCCATATATAGAGGATCTACAATGTAACCGATAATTCCATATATAGAGGATCTACAATGTAACCGATAATTCCATATATAGAGAGTCTACAATGTAACCGATAGTTCCATATATAGAGAGTCTACAATGTAACGATAATTCCGTATATAGAGAGTCTACAATGTAACAATAATTCCATATATAGAGGATCTACAATGTAACCGATAATTCCATATATAGTCTACAATGTAACCGATAATTCCGTATATAGAGGATCTACAATGTAACCGATAATTCCGTATATAGAGGATCTACAATGTAACCGATAATTCCGTATATAGAGAGTCTACAATGTAACTGATAATTCCACATAGGGGCCCTCGGGCAATAAGAGATAATGGGGCCCCATGTGTGTCTCCGCCTACACTAAAGCCAAAGCCACACCCACACAACTCCCCACCTACATATTACAGCTCAGCTGCATATAAAAAGCACTAAAAATAATTAAGAAAATAATAAAACAATGTGGTGGGGTCCCCCCCCTCCATCACAGTGACATCACGCGTGTGGCCCCACCTCCTTGTGACATCACACGTGTGGCCCCGCCTCCTTGTGAC